TCTGTATGGAATGGAGGTTATCGTTTATAATTTGAAACAAACTTAAAAATCTTGTGAATTTAACTTAGTGAAAGATTACATTGATGGTAAACTTCTTGTTATTTGCTTCTATATATTGATAGATTCTGTTGTAAGTAATGAGTGAATTCTTGAATCTAATTACACGTTTTAAGCATGTGGCAATCGATACTATTTTTCGAGATATGAATCAATGTCTAAATAAACAATTTGAAATGTTCGGTGGAGTTGTGAAAGCATTTGACACGTACTAGCACTTAAAATCCAAAATTTGATTTTGTCAAGCACTATAGACGTAACAGGGACTCTCTTGTGGGTATTATTTGTGATGATATTGTTGTGAACAAAGTTGGAATTTTTTTATAATGCTATTGATTTTATGACTTTGCATAATGTTATTATGCTTCAAAGAATGTATGTAAAATTGGATTTTAGTACTCTTTAATAGTTCTTATATACTTCACTTTAAATAAGTATAAATTATATACTTGCTTATATATAATATGGTACATAGATTTAGTATTATGAGGCATTCAATGTGATTTAGTTTGATTATTGTCAATCTACAATATTATATATATATATATATATATTCATTATATTATATTATATTTATATTTTATTTATATTTATATTTATTTATATATATATATATATTTATATCTATATATTTAAATATATATATATATATATATATATAATATAATTTTCGAAATACAATCATGACACACGAACGTTTGTGGTCTTTTTAAATAACGTGTGCATCAATGACACGCAATGTAAGTCATATATGCGTGTCATAAATTTATGACACACAAATGTATGTCAAGCAGATTTATGATGGGGGCTTCAATGATGCACAATGTAAGTCATACATGCATGTCATAAATTTATGATGCACAAATGTGTGTCATCTTAATTTATGACGAGGGCTTCAATGACGCGCAATGTAAGTCATACATGCGTGTCATAAATTTATGACGCACAAATGTGTGTCATCTTAATTTATGACGGGGGCTTCAATGACACTCAAAGAACGTCATAAATGTGCGTCATAAATGCGCGTCATAGATTTATGACACACAATTGTGTGTCATCAAAAATTCATGTCGGTGGCTTCAACGAAAGACATTTGTGTGTCAACCGCACCCATAGATGATGCGCAATACGCTTCATTAAAGGGTATTTTTCTTGTAGTGATTCAAGGTGAGAGCACTGGCCATTGAAAACTAGATCATTTCGTGTTGAGATTAACAGATATTAGTTAGTTTGTTAGATAGGTTGTTAGAGGCAGTTAGTAGCATTTATTTTTTAGTTATTGTGTAATTACTTGAACTATGTACTATAAATTGAAGTTTAGATGGATAATAAAATCAACGATGTATTAAATACATCGTTGATTTTATTATCCATCTAAACTTCAATTTATAGTATAGTTCAAGTAATTACACAATAACTAAAAAATAACTGCTACTAACTGCCTCTAACAACCTATCTAACAAACTAACTAATATCTGTTAATCTCAACACTCCCCCTCAAGTTGGTGGGTAAAAAACATTTGAAACCCCAACTTGGCTATCAAATATTCATGTTGTTAAGTACTAAGCGCCTTGGTCAAGATGTTTGCAGGTTGTTCCCTCAAAGACACATGTTCTGCTGTAAACCTTTTTGAATCTTGTCTCTAACAAAATGACAATCAATCTGAATGTGCTTCGTCCTTTCATGAAAAAAAGGATTAGAGGCTATCTGTAACGATGCTTTGCTTTCACAGAATAACTTGACTAGTTGATTCTGTTTCACTCCTAGCTCTTTTAGCAACCCACTTAGCCAAACTAACTCTGCTGTGGTCATAACCATACTTCTATACTCAGCTTCTGCTGAAGAACGAGCCACTGTGTTTTGCTTTTTTGACTTCCATGAGACCAAAGAATTGCCAAGTTTTATACAATACCCAGTTACAGATTTCTTGACATTGGACAAGTTGCCCAATCAGAATCACAGTAGGCAACCAAGTCACATGCACTAGAGGAATCCAATAAAATTCCTGCCCTGGATTCTTCTTAACATACCGCACAATTCTCAGGGATGTTTCCATATGCATCTTTCCAGGTTGATGCATAAATTGACTTAGATGTTGTACTGAATAGGCTATGTCAGGACTGGTATGGGTTAAGTAAATAAGCCTGCCTATCAGTCTTTGAAGCTGTGTTTTGTCAACCATATCTTCTTCATTTTGCTTCAACCTTTTAGTGTTTGAACCAGCCAAGAAACTGTTATTCTGCTCCAAAGGTGTCAAAGCAGGCCTTGCTCCCCCTGCCTTGATATCTTTTATTAATTCGAGAGCATACTTGCGTTGATTTAGAACAATTTCCTTTTTTGATCTTAACACTTCGAGTCCAAGGAAATATTTCAATTCATCCAAGTCTTTCATCTTGAACTTAGAATTCAGTATACACTTGAGCTCTTCTATCATAACACTATCACTTCCAGTAATCAGCAAATCATCTACATACACAAGCACAATGACCAACTTGCTTGCTACTCGCCTTGTAAACATCGAGTAATCATACATACTTTGTTGAAATCTGCTGATATAAGTGCTTCAGACAACTTCTTATTCCATTGTCTAGAAGCCTGCTTGAGTCCATACAAAGACTTTTACAGCCTACAAACCATATGCTCCCCCTGGCTGGAAAAGCCTTCAGGCAGCTGCATATAGACCTCTTCAACCAAATCTCCTTGCAAGAATGCATTATGAACATCATTTGCCATAATGGCAGGTCAAAGATAGAAGCAAGAGCCAAAATCAATCTCACAGTGGTGAGCTTAGCAACAGGAGAGAAAGTCTCCATATAGTCAACACCCTCCTTTTGATTGTACCCTTTGGCCACCAACCGAGCCTTGAATCTTTCTACCTCACCCGAAGCATGGTACTTAATTCTATAAACCCATTTGCAACCAATGGGAATTTTACCAGTTAGCAAAGGCACCACATTCCAAGTATTATTCAATTCCAATGCTTGAATCTCTTCTCTCATGGCCTGCTGCCATTGTGGATTTTCATAGGCTTCTTGATAAGTGGTGGGTTCATAAAAATGAGAAATGAAAGCAAAAAATGTTGAGTATGTGTAGGTAAATGAGAATAAGAGATGTATTTGGAAATGGGGTAAGTAGTAGAGGATTTCAACAAAGTAGATATGATTACTCGATGTTTACAAGGTGAGTAGCAAGCAAGTTGGTCATTGTGCTTGTGTATGTAGATGATTTGCTGATTACTGGCAGTGATAGTGTTATGATAGAAGAGCTCAAGTGTATACTGAATTCTAAGTTCAAGATGAAAGACTTGGGTGAATTGAAATATTTCCTTGGACTCGAAGTGTTAAGATAAAAAAAAGGGAATTGTTCTAAATCAGAGCAAGTATGCTCTCGAATTAATAAAAGATATCAAGGCAGGGAGAGCAAGGCCTGCTTTGACACCTTTGGAGCAAAATAACAGTTTCTTGGCTGGTTCGAACACTAAAAGCTTGAAGCAAAATGAAGAAGATATGGTTGGCAAAACACAGTTTCAAAGACTGATAGGCAGGCTTATTTACTTAACCCATACCAGGCCTGACATAGCCTATTCAGTACAACATCTAAGTCAATTTATGCATCAGCCTGGAAAGATGCATATAGAAGCAGCCCTGAGAATTGTGCGGTATGTTAAGAATAATCCAGGGCAGGGAATTTTATTGGATTCCTCTAGTGCATGTGGCTTGGTTGCCTACTGTGATTCTGATTGGGCAACTTGTCCAATGTCAAGAAAATCTGTAACTGGGTATTGTATAAAACTTGGCAATTCTTTGGTCTCATGGAAGTCAAAAAAGCAGAACACAGTGGCTCGTTCTTCAGCAGAAGCTGAGTATGGAAGTATGGCTATGACCACAGCAGAGTTAGTTTGGCTAAGTGGGTTGCTAAAAGAGCTAGGAGTGAAACAGAATCAACCAGTCAAGTTATTCTGTGACAGCAAAGCAGCGTTACAGATAGCCTCTAATCCTGTTTTTCATGAAAGGACGAAGCACATTGAGATTGATTGTCATTTTGTTAGAGACAAGATTCAAGAAGGGTTTATTGCAACAGAACATGTGTCTTCGAGGGAACAGCCTGCAGACATCTTGACCAAGGCGCTTAGTACTCAATAACACGAATATTTGATAGCCAAGTTGGGGGTTTCAAATGTTTTTTACCCACCAACTTGAGGGGGAGTGTTGAGATTAACAGATATTAGTTAGTTTGTTAGATAGGTTGTTAGAGACAGTTAATAGCAGTTATTTTTTAGTTATTGTGTAATTACTTGAACTATGTACTATAAATTGAAGTTTAGATGGATAATAAAATTAACGAGGTATTATTTTTAACATTTCGGCTCTTCCAAATTTGCTAAACCCTTGAAGAGAAAGTAAGGCACCAAGAAATGTTTGAGATTTGATGAGACTGGTTACTACTTGTGTTGGAGGATAGCCAACGCACGAGATCTTGGCTGAAAAAGTCTGTGGGAGGAGGTTTTTGCTTCCAAAGCATCTCTTCTTCATCAAAAAGATTTTCAAGCTCAAGGAGGAGATCGGATTCAAGGGAAGCTAGGAAAGCTGAGTTGCGCCTAGAAATTGATTTTTGAATACCCCATAGTCGAGCTATGACAAATTGACAATATGCTTCTTGGTCCTAATATAACAAAAAACAGTGGCACTCAGGAGCTAATAGTTTCCGAAAGAGAAGAGCCAAGAGTCCAGTTATAGCAAACCATGCGGGAGAAATCATCATGATTTAGCCAACCGGAAAATTTTTTTATCAAATATTTTTACACCGAAAAACACGACAGCATGAATCAAGTTGAGCTTTTTTCCAACCAAAAAGTCGCCGTTTTTTTTTTTTCGCACGTGCCACGCACGACAAAAATGTCTTATAAAAACGCATTTCTCCTCTTTCATCCCATATTTCAGTCAAAGCCGCCCCTCCCTTGATTTCTATCTGATTTGCTTCCCTAATTCCAAGCTTTCGCCAATGGCCCAACCGTCCACAATCTCACCGGTTCCGCTGTTGAGAGATGAGCTCGACATAGTGATTCCCACCATCCGAAACTTGGACTTTTTGGAGATGTGGAGACCCTTTTTCCAGCCTTATCATCTCATCATCGTTCAAGACGGTGATCCTTCGAAGACCATCAAAGTTCCCGAAGGCTTTGATTACGAGCTTTACAATAGGAACGATATCAACAGGATTCTGGGTCCTAAGTCCTCTTGCATCTCTTTCAAGGACTCTGCTTGCCGGTGTTTCGGTTATATGGTTTCCAAGAAGAAGTACATTTATACCATTGACGATGACTGCTTTGTAAGCTCAAAACTCATTCCATTATTCTTCTTCGTCTTTTTAAGTTTTGGGTGCTTTTGGAGATCTGGGTTTCAGTCAATTTTTGGAATTGGCGATTGGGTTTATTTATTTTTTACTGTTATGAATCTGGGTTCTAAGTTTTGGATCTTGATGTGATGTTTTAGTGTTCTGGGGTGGAAGTTTAAATCACGAGAGAATTTTGAATTTTGTTTAGTATTTTGGCGACTTGATTTTTTTAAAAAAAATGTTCTTCAAATGCATTTTGGTGCTATTTCTCTATCTATTTGGATCTGCAAATAACATGTATTTATCTGTGTTTACTGTTTTGTTTCCTATAGATTTATGCTTTGGTTTGTTGCGCTTTTGTGATAGTGATCCTGCATTTTAGTCATTAACTAATGTTAAGCCATTGCTCATTTGCTTGACACTGGTTTGGTATGAGTTTTGATTGTCTTTAGCTGATTTTAGAGCTTAGGTTTTGGAATGTGCTCGAGATTTATTTGTTTTAACTAATCATTCCTGTGTTTGTAAGTGATCGTCGTGCAATTGTTTTTATTTATTTATTTTCAGACTCATTTTCTTGAGATCTGACAATGAAATGTTATTGTCATGCATGTAAAGTTAATGTTCGAAGCTGCTTGGTTTACAGGTTGCGAAAGATCCGTCTGGCAAAGACATTAACGCACTGGAGCAGCACATTAAGAACCTTCTGAGTCCATCTACTCCGTTTTTCTTCAACACTCTCTACGACCCGTACCGAAATGGTGCAGATTTTGTCCGTGGTTACCCGTTCAGTCTCCGCGAGGGTGCTCCCACTGCAGTGTCTCATGGCCTCTGGCTCAACATCCCTGATTACGATGCACCAACTCAGCTTGTCAAGCCTCTTGAGAGGAACACCAGGTATATATATATATATATTTAACACTTCGCATTTTGTTCAATATACGTGCTCGTATAAATGAAGAGTAATTTTGACATCTAATTTTTATCAGGTATGTTGATGCTATTATGACAATACCCAAAGGAACCCTATTTCCCATGTGTGGTATGAATCTGGCATTCAACCGTGAATTGATCGGCCCTGCAATGTACTTTGGACTGATGGGTGATGGTCAGCCTATCGGACGATACGATGATATGTGGGCCGGCTGGTGTACCAAGGTATCTTATCATTCGTGCCACCACCTACCCGGTGGATCTTTAATGATAAAGTTTCCTGGGGCTATATGTATAAGCTTCCTATTACACTGCAACTGTTAATAGCATGTTCGGTCAACACGCAGGTTATATGCGACCACCTCGGATTGGGAGTGAAGACGGGATTGCCGTACATTTGGCACAGCAAAGCGAGCAACCCGTTTGTTAATCTTAAGAAAGAATACAAAGGAATTTACTGGCAGGAAGAGTTGATCCCATTCTTCCAGTCCGTTACTCTTCCAAAGGACTGCACTACGGTTCAGCAATGCTACATCGAAATCTCGAAGCAGGTCAAGGCAAAACTAAGCAAGGTTGATGACTACTTCAGTAAGCTCGCTGATGCTATGGTGACATGGATCGAAGCATGGGATGAGTTGAACCCGTCTGGTGCAAAATCCGCCGAGGTTCCCAACGGAGCTTCGAAGTAGACTTGTTCGGTAAGCAGCTGACATCGTGTTTAGCACCCTAGGCTTGTTTTCGGATCGAAGAACGCTTATTTTGCAGGTCGGAGGGGGATACATTATAATGCTTATCATATTTATTACAGATTGTAGAACTATGAGAAATTGATGATGGCACATGGCTTATTGTATTGCATTAGAAATCGATGTCTTATGTCTAAACTAATTTATTTAGACAATGATTTGAGGTTGTTGCTTTTTCGAAAAGGGGTTTATTGCAGATATTGAGATTCGAATTCAAATTTTTTTTTTAGCTTAATACAAAAATAAGTGTCTAAAGAATGTCTCGAAAAACATTTGAATTTTTCACTAAAAGTATGTGTTTAAAGTTTTTTCCGTTATATTTTTAGATGATTATCGTAAAATAAAAGTTAAGTGACACATGTCATGTCAAGATTTTTTTATTTAAAAATATTTTTTTAAAATCTGGACGTAACACGTGTCACTTAACGATTTTTTTTAACAGTAGACACCTTAAATGTAATGAGAAAATTTTAGATACTTATATTTAACAAAAAAATTAATCACCAAAAATTAATTTTAAGTATAATTTAAACATTTATTTTTATATGTTTTCACTAAATTTCCTGAAAAAATATCAAGTTGGATCCCCAGATAATTATTGGAACAGCGACAAGCTGTAATTCTATGGTGCATATTGTCGTGTCTGATGTGCAAGTCCCATGTAATTGTGATACCAAATTTATTCGTTTATTTTATAGGGTAAACTACACAATTGACAACTAATATTTTAGAAGTTTTTTTTTTCGTTGAAATTTCAAAAACAACAAATCAATCACTAATGTTATTGATTGATTATAAATTGTTTACTGGACGTTAACAGAAGTTTTTATTATTTAAAACTTGAGGTCCTTTCGATTCTATAAAATATTTTTTTGAAAATGATTTTATTTTCATTTTTCAAAAATTAAAATGCACATTTGACTAATAGAATTATTTTTTTATTTTCAGTTTTTCAAAAACTTTCAAAATTATATATATATATATATATATATATATATATATATATATATATATATATATATATATATATATATATAGTTAACATTCAATCCGGATATGTGAGCTATGATATTGAACTTTATCGAGATTAGCATATATAAGAAAAATTCAATACTCTTATTCTAGAGACTAGCAATTGGAAAAAATATTTTAAGGTGTACACATACATACTAGGATAAACCATGTATTTAATCATTCACTATAACTTTTATTTTATTTTGATCATCCAACTATCATTTTTCAAAAAATATATCTAACATTACATTTTGATTACGTTTTAATCACCCACTGTTAAAAAACAAACAGAAAAGATGGTGGCACGTTTATTTTTTTCCAAAGCAATCCTGCTGACAAAGAAAATGGAGAGGAGTTTACAGTACGAGAGCTTTTGGCACCACTCCAAAATAATAAGAGTAATGTCAGCTCAACAACAATTCCGAGCTCAACCCACCTATATCATCCTTTCCAGCGCCCCTAAAGCCGGCACAACCTGGTTAAAGTCCCTCCTTTTCGCCACCATTACCCGAACATCATACGATGACTCCACCACTCCTTTGCTTTCAAAGAACTCGCATGAATGCTTGCCGTTCACGGAGCTCGAATTTTCACACTCATCGTGATCTTGTGGTCCCTGTTTTGTCCACTCACCTGCCTTATTCTTCCTTGCCCAAATCTGTAATCGAGTGTGGTTGTAAAATTGTTTGTTTGCTGGGACCCCAAGGATTTGTTTGTTTCATTGTATCACTTCGTTGCCAGGTTCCTTGGAACCCAAAATACTCAACTTGTTGGTCTTGAAGAGGTACTTGAGCTGTTTTGCAAAGGTGAATGTCTATATGGACCTTATTGGGAACATGCTTTGGGGTACTGGAAAGCAAGCCAGGAGCATCCGGACAAGATTTTGTTCTTTAAGTATGAAGAAATGATGGAAGATACTGTTTCGTATGTTAAGAGATTGGCGGAGTTTATTTGGCGTCCTTTCTCATCGGAGGAGGAAGAAAGAGGGGATGACTTAAAATAAGTACTATATTCGGAAAGGGAAGGTTGGGGATTGGGAGAATTATTTGACCCCTGAAATGGCTGCTCGGGTGGACCAGATAACGGAGTCGAAGCTTGACGGTTCGGGATTGACTCTATAAGTGAAAGACGGAGATCTGGTTCAGAAATTATCTCTGTTCTTCAACCCTTTGAACTATGCTTGTGTTTGGAGATCTGATTCAGAAATGATCTGATTTTCTACCCTTTTCTCTATGATTGTGTTTGTGCAATAACTTTTAAGTTGTTTCTCAATCTTTGCTCATGGCCTTTGCGTATCTGAGTCTCAATGTTCGTTCTTCGTTTTAATCATTTCGAAACATATCATTATTCAAAAGCGATCGCATGATAACATTTCATCCCTCCAAATGCTTTTAGTCATGTTTTCAGAACAATTTTCCAGGCAAAGGGATGCAAATATCCAAAAACTCAGCAAGGCCTTACTTTGATGGAGAATCCCATATGGCAATTTCTGAATATCCATCTTCAGAGGCACAGGCACGAAACATGCCGGTGGTGTTGAAGGGCATGGCAACTTCTCCGGTGGAAGACACGGCAATTAACCCAGTAGTTCCTGCCGGAACTCGGTCTACAACGTATGCAGCAGCTTCCTTGAGGGGAATGCCTTTGAACTCCATAACAGCAGCAACATCCCTCGCGACAGTACCACGGATTATCGCTTCTCCTCTCCCTGTAGCAGAAACTGCACATAGATGATTCGCATAAGTCCCTGCACCGATAACTGGTGTGTCCCCTATCCTACCAACCATTTTGTTCACTAGTCCACCAGTTGATGTTGCAGTAGCCAAATTCCCTTCATTGTCAACAGCCACACATCCAACAGTGCCAATTTGGCTATCACCATCAGCAACTGCACCGTCTTTTGGCACCTCCTTTTGAATTGGTTGAGTGTAATCAATCTGCAGATTAAAACAAAACCAAAACACTTAAAACCTGAAGCATTTCATTGATTCATCACTTTAAAATCAAGATTTGGACAAGAACGAATCTGATGCAGGGGAAACATTTACCTACACAGATAAACACACAAGAATTCAGTTCAATGCCAAAGTAAGATATTTCAAGCAGTATCAAGGTCTGATGTTCTACGTTTTCATAAGTTACATCTTTGAATATCTAAAAGTAATAGACAGTTTGGAGACGACAAAACTATTTCGAAAAGAGAACTTGTACCGAGAAAAATACCTGAACTCTGTCAGCTTCTTGTGCCTGCTTAAGCCTTTCAATGTTTTCAGGAGTTATAAAATGGCTCATCTCAACAGTCTCAAGACCCTGAACCCATTTAAAACAAAACAGACATAAGAAAAGCGGATAATAATCATTTTAGTAGTAATTGAAAGCTATAAGCACCACATATCGGGTTTGTTTTTGGCCAATTATTGAGGAATCGAGGGGGTGTGTCATATACGAGTATGTGTCTAACATGGATATACTCACAATTTTAACGTATTCCATCTATTTGGACGATCATACTCCGACACGCATGTCTGAATATGTGTTCAAACAAGAAAACATGATTCCGAGCTCTAATGATATGTTTCATTCCAATTAAATTGAGCAAAAAAGAAACACAAAAACAACACAGTTTATGAACTTGCTTGTATCAAACTTTGTAGAAGGAAGATCACATGACGAAACTGAAACCTACCTAAAGGAAGCATATGTTGCCAACTTTAGACAAATAGAGAAAAAGCTTCAAATATTTTAAATCCCTTTGTTTACATCAGTAGGAACAAAGTACAATGAAGAAAGAAAAGGCCAGATAAAGAACATTAGCTACTCAGTTTGCTTGTCACTTACTTGTTCCCTTGCAAAGGCCTCAGAACCATCAAATGCCAGATAAATATGAGGAGTCTTCTCCATGACTAACCGAGCAAGGGATATAGCATTAACAACAGTGCTGACACCTGAGACAGCTCCACATTTCATTGTTTTGCCATCCATTATGCACGCTTCCATCTCAACGGTACCTGCGGTGGTCAGGACAGACCCCTTTCCCGCATTGAAATGCGGATGGTTTTCCAGTTCCCGTACCTACATAACAAGAAGCAACATATTATCACCCCTCTCCGGATTCGGAGTGCGGATGGTTTTCCAGTTGGCGTACCTATGTAACAATTAACAGCATAAATCCAGAACTTAAAAATCTGCTTAGAACAAAAGGCCCATTTTTGTTCTACTCAGAATCGGGTATAGAGCAAAGAGGTGTAGATGAATTTTATTAGCAGACAGTTAAACTCTCTAGCAAGAGCATTAAGATAGCAATTTGCATCCAGGAAATTATCAAAGAACGGCATATGAAAGAAAACAAGAATCCATGTCATGCTGGCATAACCTCATAAAGTTGCAAAATTTCACAATCAAAACATGCCCCAAAGATTACTACAACTGTTTGATAAAAAGAATCTTCAACTACAACCAGAACATCCCAAGTCCCAATTATTGGTAGCCCATCGACTCCAACCATCTTGCAAAGGAAACTAATAATTTGACGTAAACCCAGATCAGAGATGCACTGAAATGAACATGAAAGTAAAGCCAAATTACATATGTGTGTACCACTAGTTCAACAACGTCCAAGGGGTGGTTACGGGCTTTGAGGGCGGCAGATCCCAACGTCAAGGCAGCGGCGGAGCCCAGCTTCACGAGGGAGGCGTTTCTCTGGGGGCAAAGAGAGTGGGATGTCTCCGGCGCCTCCATGAATAGCAATTGCCCACCCCATTTCCGTTTCTTCCAAACTATAAAATCTCTCTCTTCCGGTAGTTGGTATTTTGTATTTCAACTAAAGAAGACAAAAGAACTCTAGTGAGTTCCACTTATTTCTTTCCTGATTGGCCACCATTTACCGCCAAATTCGTCCACCCTCCATTCATAAGAAAAACTGTCTAATAATTTCCAAGCTCAAAATGATTGGCAAGCTGCTTGTTGGAAATTAAAAATCCGGTCTTTTGATGCAACAAGCATAACTCGGATGAGAAGATCACAATGTATTGCCTTTCTTTTTCAAATGCCGGCAAGCCTTCCCATACATATCTCAAAGCTAGACCATGATTTGTTTTCCTATATTTAAAATAGGATAGTCTACACTCTCGACTAGCATCACTATCGATAAATCATATTAATCTAATTTATAAAAATTTAAAATTTAAAATCACTCAACATATAATTAGTTAAAATAAAATATTAATTATTTTACTTTTTCACTTTTTTTGGATAAATTATAAAAGTGACCACCTAACTATTGCCACTTCTTATTTTGACCATAATTTTTGAAATTTTGTTAATCAAATAACTAAACTATTTAAATGCATTCAATAATGTCACTTACCGTTAACAATTAACGAAGTGCTGACGTGATAGTTAATAACTTATTACTTACACAATCTATCAAATTAGTCATATTTTGAAATTATTTCAATAAAAAGAATATAGTCTTTAACATCCATCGTTTAAGGCCATAGCCTCTACTAGTTGGTCGTGAAACAATAGAGATACAAAGCAAGTAGTTAAGTGGCTTTGATTGAATGCATTTAAATAGTTTAGAGACCTAATTGACAAAATTTCAAAAAAATGATGATTAAAATAAAGATGGATAATAGTTAAGTGGTCATTGTTATAGTTTACCCAAAAAAGATTATGAAAAATAATATAATTAATATTTTATTTTAACTAATTTACCTTTAAATTTTTAACTAATTTATAATTATACATTGAGTCCTTTAGAATTTTAAATTTTTATAAATTAGATTAATGGTGTTCATCGTTAGTGGTACTCAGTGGTGCTCGTAGAACGTTGTAGAATTTACTTTTAAAATATTATTTATTCAATAATGTTATTTAATATTATTATTTAATAATACTATTTTAATAATAAAATTCAATACTGAAATATTATATAATATTAGATATATTAAATAAAATTGTTATCTATTAAAAAATTAATGATATTGATTTTTAAATAATATAATAATATTATTCATATTAATAAAGTATTAATCTTATATTTTGATAAAAATATTGATCTGATTATTAAAACATTACTCATCTTTAAAAGAATATCATTAAACTATCAAATAAATATTATATAATTTTTTAAAAAATATTTAAATACAAAGATTTTAGAAACAAACTTCGTACTTAATTCAAAATAGAAAATTACATAATACTATTAGGGTGAACGTTCGATTGAGTCGAGTCAGTAAAAAAATTTCGAATTATTTGAGTTGACGAGTCCTATTTTACAACTCGAAGTTGACTTGATTTTTTTTTAGTCGAGTCAAGTTAAAATTTGAGTCGAGTCAAATTTTTGAGTTTCTATTTAAATTTAATTATAAATATTTATAATACTATGATATTATTTGATTCTAATTTAAATGATTTTTTTTATAACCATATACAATACGTGTGTATTTCTTCATATTTTTTCATATGTGATATACATTTATAATACAGAGTTAAGGAACTCAACTCAAACCTGAAAATCAATATATTAATTACTAAAAATTTGAGTTATTCGAGTTGTATTTTACAAATTGATTTGAAATTGAATTTTTTTGACTCGAGTAGAGTTTATGAAATTACAAATCGAAATTAATTCGAGTCGAGTCGAGTCGAGTAAAAAAATTAATTTTTCGAATCAAGTCGCTTTGCTCACCCCTAAGTACTACATAGTAATTATTATATCTATATATTACATACTATATAGTGATGTATTAATTTAAAGTTCTAACACAACAAAAAATACACCATTATTTATCATAAATATAAAATGCAACACATAATATTTAGGGGTGTTCATAAGCGGTTAATTGTACCGTTTAATTTAAATGGTCGATTAACCGTTATAATAGTTAGTAAATTTTAGTAATTGTAATCTTATCATTAAAAAATGTTCAATCGCTAATGATTAATCGTTATCAACGGTTCAGTTACAAATTAATAAAAAAAATTAACCTATTACAATTTTGTTTCAAACACAACACAACATGAAAGTTTCAAAGTTTCATAAAATTTGAGATAATTGAAATATATATATATATTTGTAGACATCTTATTTATTTGTAGATGCCTTTTTTTATAGAAATATATATTAGGAGGTATATTCTTTTTTTTACAATTTAAATTTTTACGTGTATATTTATATTTTGTAGTTTAGAATTACATATTCTTTTCATACAGGGACGGAGACATGATTAAATATTGGCATGTGTAGAAATATTAGACTATTTAAGAAAAATATAAAGAGTTATTATGTATTTAAACTCGAAATTCAGCATGAACCAAGCGACGTTAGTGATTAAGAGATTGTTGTTATCCTTGAGGTCCCGAGTTCAAGCCCTTATGTAGGGGTATGAGCGTTCATTATCAAATTATTGAAAGTATTTGTATATATATTACCTTGTGTTGAGTTAATCGATTGACGAAATCGGCCAAGAGGGGGTGAATTGGCAATTAAAAAAATTGGTGGAAGCTTTTGCAGAAAATTGAAAGTAATTGTACAGTAATTTAGAGTGGTTCGACTTTCTCAACCAAAGTCTACGTCCACTGCCTTATCTATCCACACTAAGGATTTTCCAACAAATTCACTAATTTGTTCTTTCTTTTGAGGAGAAAGAGAAACCTTACAACTTCCTCAAGAATTATACTCAAATATTTGAGCACTCTTTTTCAAAGAGAAATACACAAATTTGCAAACTTACAAGGAAAAACCTCACAAGGTAAGATGTTTGCACAATTCTAGAACAAGATAAGAACACTCAAGGATGATTACAAATGAGCACAAATTGTGTTCTTGAAAGCAAAATGAATATTGAAAGGAAAATTGGCTTGAATTGCACAAACTTGGTGTTTGATGCTTTCTCTCTTGTTTCTCAATGATTTCTGTTTTATCAATGGCTTCAGAACTTGTTTAAATACTCCTTCAATTGATTCTGAACGTTGGGGATGATTAGTGGAGTCAATAGAGTCGTTTAAGAGTGAAAACAATTAATAAAACAGTTGGGAGCGTCTGGTGCATCGATGCATAGGGCTGGTGCATCGATACACTATGTGTAAAATTCAAATATTTCGACCGTTGGACCCTTAGTGCATCGGTGCACTAAGAGTGCATCGATGCATGAAGTGCATTCGATGTTTCAAACAAGCCCGAGTGCATTGATGCATAGTCTGTGCATTGATGTATGGTATGCACATCGATGCATAAAATGCATTCGATGTTCAATTTATTCAATGGTGCATCGATGCATGGATTGGTGCATCGGTACACTCTTTTGAAAAATTGATTTTAGGCTCGTTTTTGGTTCAAAATACTTTGTGAAAATTGTTTCAAAAGTAGTTTAAGTATAAAACACAATTTTACACATTAGTAAGGATTGAAATTGAACTTTGAAAGACTTGGAGTAATATTTTGATATTCGAGTAATTAAATCGAATATACTTAGAAAATTATTTATAAAATCTTAAAATTAATTTAACTTAATTTGTTATATCGAAACATCAAAATGTTTTCAACGATCTCCCCCTTTTTGATATAACAAAACATTTTAGTAATTTTAATATTTTCTAAAATTTTAAAATAAAGTTTAAAAAATTACTCCCCCTTACTATGAGACAATCTTTTCTTTTCTCCCCCTTTTTGTTAAATCAAAAAGACTCTAAAAACGATTTAAACAAGGTTTTGAAAAATATAGCCAATTGATTATAAGTAAATATAGCTTAAACTGCTAAGATCAAAGATCAAGAGAAAGGTTAGCCATTAGTTTCATAATCAATATTCATAATCAAATGTGAAATTTCATAATTGGTCATAATGCAACTAATATGTAAATGATGCAAAAATTAATAAGTTCAAACATATATATAATAAGTTCAAACATCCAATCATCCAAATCATAACTCCAAACAAATTCAAACATTTAACAATCCAAACACATCAAAATGTTTATCAAACTAAGTTTTAAAACCAAAAAACATGGAAAAAGATCTACTCCATTGGAGGGTCGGGAAGAGGAGCACGAGAAGAGCTAGGAGCAGCTCGTGAACAACTAGCTCCCGGAGTTTGCTTATTGGGTCGAAAGACCCATAGACCAATTTCCTCGTCCTGTTTCCTATCAGCTTTCTTCAACGAGGTGAGCTTGATTTGGTTTTGGAGAGGAATGAGATTGTCAAGAGAGACGTTAAGACCGAGTTTGATAAAAAGGTTACTAAGTAGACATCCATAAACTAAAGTTTTGACATTTTTAGAAGGGATAACATTTATGGTATCTACGGTGGTTTGGGCATGTCCTTAGGCGACTACCGTCGGATGCGGTCAGGAGGGTAGAGTCGATTACAGTCGACGGTGCCAGAAGGCGAGGACGACCAAGGCGGAAGTGGGAAGACTGCTTGAGATCTGATTTGATGGATTTAGCCCTTACCGAGGACATGACCTCTGATAGGAAAGTATGGAGACTCAAAACTAGGGTAGTCGAGTAGTGTGGGTAACTTCTACTTTTTATACGTTTCTATTATTGGTATTTATGAAGGCTTAGAACTGGGCTTGCTTTCGTTGACTTCTGTGTAACATTCTCTTCACTTTTAAATTTAGTCGGGTCTTACGTTTCTGTCTATATGCAGAGATTTTTTCGTATGGATTTATTTGCAGGGATTACTGCCCAAGTACAAACGCGCATATGATATTAATGATATTAATGTCTGCATATGAATACTGTTCAACTATGTATTTATGTATTTATTTATACATGCATTGCACTTTATCTATATTTTTAATT